AGTTAGTTTTAATATTACTCTTATTATTCTTTCTGGGTCACAAAATAAATGTTTAGCATATTTTCAAGCGAGAATGTAGCTGTGTAAACCTCAAATATCTGCTCAGTTTATCAAGACACCACATATTTTCAAAAGCGCTCCGACGTTTTCGGAGACGTCTGTTACCCACTAGCTCAATAGCTAGCCGGGGGCTAGGCTAACTAGAGCCGTGAGAACACCGGACTCCCGGCAAATCATTTTCAAACCCACCAATGTCTTTCGTTATTTAGGTTAAACATGATATATAAGTCACTTAGATAACTTACAAATGTTATTGTTTGGCTTTTTTCAGTATTTTATTTGTTCCTGAGTAAATCGGTTTGGCTGAGATTAAAGTTATAGTTTTTACACAGCTGAATAAACGTCAAGCAGACAGCTGATTATCAGAAGTGTGAGATGCTGGAGAATTTACTCCAGTGTCCTGTTATATTTTAGATAGCAAGGAGTTTATTAAACTTCACCGAAACAATCTGTAAATTTCATTAAAATTTAATAAACTATCATCTTGTCTTTATTGTTAGTTAGCACAGACCTTACACACTTAAAGCTGTAAGCTAATGATAGTTATATAAGAGCAGATGCTGCTGGTGCAATAAGCTGTATGTTTTACGTCCAATGGATGATGATCTGATTAATTGACTAATCGCAAAAATAATCGGTGACTAGTCGACTATCAAAATAATCGTTTGTGGCAGCCCTACTATCAGATCATGTTTATAACGCACAGCTGAAATTAACTGGGCTCAATTAACCTGGATGTGCTGCACCGAGTTTACGTTTTAGTAATTTTAGAAGAGTACATGATATTACTTCTTTAAAACACCACCCTTACAAAGAGCATCGGCTCCATCTCGGATCACTTACAGCGACCTGCTTTGAGGTGTTTTCTGTCTGTGGTCATTTTGCATTCTCCTTTTTTCTGCATATGCTTTACAGTCACGTCTTTTTCTTTATCTAAAGTTTGATTTATCTCAACCTGCTGAAAGCACCAGTTTTATATTTGGATCAAATATTCTTTTCTTTAGATTTTTGATTTGGAACGTTTACGAGTAACGACATGTAAACGCTGCTTCTTTAAAATACCGCTCCTTATAAATCCTACAGGCAGAGCGCTGCAGTATTGATGGAGGTGTAGAAGTTGCAGCACATGTTTCAGGAACAAATGCTGTTTAAAATAAACTTGCACAGTGAACCACCTCACTATACAGCTTCAACAGCTCCAATAGGATGTAGATGCTTCAGTGTTTGTTTCCCCCAAATCTCCAAACATTAGGTGAGGTATGGACCTCCTCTGTCACTCCAGCCCTCCTTCACTACATCAATAAATATCCTCAGAGGTCGTCCTCTTCTCCTCCTGTGAACATCCAGTATATCTACCCTCCCTCCTCTGCACACCTCAGCCTCTCTGACTCTGAGATGTCCCTTGACTGTCCATCTGTCTGCTGACCAGAGTGGGCTCAGGGCCCTGATGTAGTCTCACCTCCACCTTAAACCCACCTCCCCACTGTCTCTCTGTCCTCATACTGGTACGAGGATACGCTGGAATCGGTACCTACCTGAACATGTCGGTACGAGAAGTGAAAGAAGTTGACTGTTTGATCTCAGCGGCAGGTGGGAAACAGGTGAATGAATGTGTCACAGGAAACTTCAGTCTCACCTGAAAACCCCACGAAGGTCACATGGTACCCGTGTTTACTCAGGGATAAAGCGTGATACTGCATCCGAGGACTGCGCCCGATGTCCCCCAACACCAGCACGCAGACCCGCCGGGAGGTCCCGTCGTCCCGCCGCCGTAGGCTGCGGACCCACAGCGGCAGCAGCGCGGCAGCGACCGCCAGAGACACCGCGGGCCAACACACAGCCGAGTGTGGCGCAAAAAGTCCCGCTAAAAGCGCCAAAACCATCAGGGAAACTGCCAGCAGAGCCGTGCAGGAGCAGCGCGGCGCCATGTTTGTTTGAGATTTGTGATGACGCGGCTCATCACAAATGGGCGGGGCTTGATGTTTAAAGGAACCGCGCATCGTATCGTGACGCGTTCATGTGCAAACCAGGAACTTTCAGTCTCAGCCGTCAAAGCGTGTGTTAACTTCTATTGTTATCAAAAGATTTTATTAAAAAATCCACAAAGAAAAAATTAAGAAGTAGGGCTTTGGTAACACATTTACATTTTATTTTTTTTTAAAAAGAAAAATCTCAGAAACATCTTTTCACAAACATTTTGGAACAAAGAATAAAAAGTTTGCCTGAGCAGATTTTTGTGAATATATTTACACAATTAAACATTTGTTCTGATGTTTTGTGGTTTTCAAATGTGAAAATCTACTTTGTATTAACCAATCTCCCTTTAGGATATTTTCGGTTCTATTCTTCATTTAGAAACAAAAGGATATAATATATACACGTCAGAATCAAAATAGGATTCAGGATTATACTTTACTGTCATTACACATGTATAAATACAGTGTAGAGCAGTAAGTGCAATACTTTCTTAATCCCTGAGGAAATTATATTATACACATATACATGTATAAGAATGCGTGACATTAATATGTAATATATGTTTTCCAGTGCCTTCCAGAAAATATACTCATAAAAATTATGCATTAATATACTATAAACAAAATTGTTTAAAAAAAATCTAAATAATAACATATACATATTCATCAATTTGTAAATGAGCCTGAAAATTGTACTCGTGCTGTCCACACTGTATTTTTCTGATGAAATAGTCTATAGTGTGTATATATATATATATATATATATATATATATATA